AAAAAGATTAGAAATTAGCATTAGGTCACCAGAAATAGAAAGAAATTTAGAAGTTATAGAAGGTGAAACAGAAATAGCAGGCATTTTAAAAAAGAAGTATAGACCAAGCTTCAGACAAAAAAAAATAATAAATGTGTTCATACTCAAACAATTACTAAATAGAGAAGGAAACAAACTGCTTACATGGGACCAGACTAAGTAACTTAGAGGTTGTAACAGCAAGAAGAAAAAAACAAGATGGTTTCAGGAATTAGAGAAAACAGTGTTAGAAAGTGAAAATGACAGAAGAGTAAAAGCAGAATTTTACAAAGGTCCAGAAAATTACAAATCAATCGAAGCAAAGCTATATAAGATAAGTAGCAATAAACGAAGACAGAAGTGGATCATATACAAAGAAGAGAATAGAAATGCTGAGGTCAGAAAAATAGTAAAAAAAAAAGAAGATAGAAGGTATGAGATAGAGCATTAGGACAGAAATAGTATACCTAGTCCAGATGAAATATTTTTAGATCTATGCAAAGGTTGCACAAAAAAAAAACAATGAAGAAGAGCCCAGTATTTGCCAAATTAACAAGCAGTTTAAGGAAATAAGAAGAGCTCTAGATAGTAGTTAGATCAAAAAGAGCAATGATGATGGCAAACAATATACAAGATCACAGTGCTATGGGAGAACTTAGCGAGAATGAGAGAACCTCAAGCAGTAATAGAGGCAAAAAGAAGAGCAGAAAGACAAATAACAGAGATAAGAATAGGTTCTGTTACTGAAGAAATAACACGAAGCTATATAGACAGAGTAGAAGCAGTAGCAGAGCTAACAGCAATTTCAGAAGACATTATAAAGTACAAAATATTTGAAGTATATACCAATGGCTCACTACTATAACTGCAAGAAACAGCAAGTGAAACCAAGATGAAAGTAGGGTGGATTCTACAGATGCAAGAAGAAAGACCATTAAAGAAGGTAGCAGATTTTAATTGCATTATTATAGGCTGACTCCAGGGTTGGCAAATTTGTCCATTGTCATCAATGGAGCTCTGGTCCATTGACTCAAAAAATTAACTCCATTGAAGATATATTTTTTCAATGGACCAATGCACAATAGACTATATCGATTTATATAATTTTAATAGTAAAAAAAAAAAAAAAAAATTATTATTATAGACTTTGCAAACTAATTAAACTTGAATAGTAATTCTTTAATTGTCGAATTGTATGTGATATGAATTACCGGATTGAATAAAGCAAGAATAGGTTATAATCGATAACATTGTATAATTTTAATGCATGTTGATAAGGGTCAACAGATCAAAAAGAAAGGAAAGAACTGGTCAGGGTCACACGCCATGCGTCACAACCCCACTCTCAAATCACGGAACAGAGGGCATGGGTCGGGATCAAAGAATGGATCAATCAGTTAAATTGCATGAATTAACACGCAACCAGATACGTAACAGAAAAGCCACCGACCACAATCGATATATAAAGAACCGAAAACAAGATGCTTCGACACCCTTTCCTACTTCGACACATTAGTCTTCGGCAAACAAATTTCTCAACCCAACCTCTCCCACCACATATTGTAGTCTCCTGATTCTGCCATTTTCCTATTTAATAGCCAGCCTGCTTCGAGCAGGCGGGAAACCACCAGCTGATGCTGCTTCTCGCTTATTCTACTTCTCACTTGTTCTACTGTTACGATGATACCTGGCGCAATCTCACTTGCTAATTTTCTGGGAGCATATCATCGTTTCAGTTCGATTTACTTAGCTAAAATTACTTAGCTAAAATTACTCATAATGTATTCTGCGGACTTCATGTCCTTTAATTGAATTTATTTCCGGCACCTTTGGCTAGCCGGCATTTATCCAACACATAACCAGTCGTACTGATGCTTTTTGTATTTATTACTACAGACTTACAATATGCATAATCTAAAGGATAATCGCATATAACAATAAAAGGTTCGATCTGTAAGATCGAATCTACATTTTGATTTTTCTTTTAACCAGAATCAAAGTAACGATGCTGTTGAACCTTAAATAAAGATTAGGTAGTTGTTATTAAAGATATGATTTGGTGTATTAGAGAAGGAAAAGAGAAAAGAACGAAAGTGGATGCATATATATAGCTAAACTCTAAGCAGTTATTATGTATAAAGCGCATTTACTTGACACTATGTTAATAACTTAATATTATTTGCGTGGTTAGTAAAGAAAAAATCAATATTTATGTTTTATATAAATATTTCACACACAATATAAGAATTTAATCTTTATTGTAAAAACATATTTATAGTAATATAATATTTATAAGTTATAAATAAATTCTGGATCAGGAATATTATCTTTGAACAAAGTTTCTAGCTTCTACTTTGCATCATTGTTGATAGCCGGATGATCTGTATCACAAATAATTCGATCTACATTATCTTCACCTACGGTAAGATCAATTTCATCCTCTTCTTCTTCAGAGATCATATTAACCCACTGTTGTATTATTTTATTCCAATTATCAATACTAATAACTTCATTTTCTTCATTAACTTCTTCTGCTTCATCATCCAAATCATTATCTACTATAAACACATCATCGCTTTCATTTTCTTTGAGTATTGGTAAGGCAACATTATTTTGCTTGTACTGCTTTATTGATAATTCAAT